ACTGTTATATCATAGGTAATGAAGAAGCTTGTCTGTTGTATTACACAAGACTACGGGCTGCTGAGAGAATTGAAGTCTTTCATTTCAAGGAGTCAGTTGCTAAACAACTGGCTTCTCGTTATCTGTGATATCACTGTTTTCTTTATAGTTATTTTTGTTCTTAAAATTTTACTTATTTTAATCTGTATTCATAAATATATACTTGTGCCATAGCCAGTTCTCTCTGTATACCATTAAAATGTAGTTTTTTATTTTCATAATTCGGGAACTTTAAAATTTCATAGTATTATGCCATCAATACTCCAAATTAAATAATTTCCATATTTAATACTTAAAAGTTCCATTAATTCAATGAAGATTTCTGGGGTGGGGAATCCCTAGCCATCCACGCAAATTGCCCGCTATTTTTGTCCAGTTTCATCCAAAAGTGTAATGTGTCGACACATTTTTAAAATGTGTTTAAATTAAATATTGTCGACGTAGGTAAACATCTGTCTGATGTATTTCCTGTTCATAATAGCCTGGAACAGAGAGATGCTTCATCACCACTCCTTTCAAACTTTGCTCTAGTTTATGCTGTCAGGAAGGTCCAGAAAAACAAGGACGGGTCACGTCAGCTTCCGACGTACGCTGACGATGTTAATTTACTGTATGAACACATAAATATCATAAAGAAAAACACAGAAACACTATTGGTCTAGAAGTAATCATGAAGAAAGCGACTGTGGTTGTAAGACGTCTTGCGAGCTGCACTCCTGGGTTTGACGTGGTCGGGTTAAGATTTGGAGAGGTCTGGTGCCGCAATAGCTGTTTCAAAAACACTGACTGTTTTGGATAGACCATTCTAATTATTTCTCAGTTGATGCTCTTGTGGAGGATAATATTGAAATTGATCTTGGGGAAGTTGGGCGCGGTGTTGTGGACTGGATTCATCTGGTTCTGTATGGGCATTGCTGGCAGGCTGTTGTGAACTTGGTCTAGAACCTTTAGGTTCCATAAAATGTAGGTAATTTATTGACTGGCTGAGCACAGTACTTCCTCATCAAGAATAACTCTACTCGATGATGTGAGTTAGTTGATAAATTTTAGTGCAACACCCTAATAATAAATTTCAAGAAAATCTCTTAAGTGGTTCTCGGGTTTTACGTGCAGACAGATGGAGTGAGAGACGGTGAAGCTAAAGTACTTTTTTGTAGCTTTTGTTGCAAAAACGCTGAAAAGAATGGTTTATTTAATACAAAATTTTAATTTTCTGCTGTTTTTTGTATTTGTTAATTTTTGTTTTGCAAGTGATTTTTATGTCAGTACTTTTATTTTGTATCATAGCAGTAAAAATTGATAAGGCATTTTTTTTCAAAAATGCCTTATGTTTTCTTTTTGAGATCCTGCCCAAAACAATGAACACGTTATAGCAAACTGAAATTCTGTGCTTAATTTTGACAGGAATTATATTTTACAATATCTAAGCTTACGATATGATGATTATTAGAATCTTCTTACGTTCCTTTCGAAATGGAAAATGTTACAGAAAACTTTAGTTGTTTAATCTGAATGAATGTTCTGTTTTCTTATGTCGTCCGAGAGCATACCATTATGAATGCAATGCTTCACTCCTTTCAGCAGTGAGTCTACATGTAGTGTGTGAATCCTGGAATATAGAATTTTATGTGATGAAATTTGAGTAATTCTAAAGTCTGGAGATGCACATCATTTCAAAATAAAGTACAAGGGGACATATATAAGTACAATGAAGGTGGATCTTCAAAATAACAGGTTAAATTGATTACTAGAAGTGTCCATATCAACAAAAACAGCCATTCATTCTTATGTTTACTTTGCAAATTTCTGTGTGCATACAAAATTCACAATACAGACACACATTGAAATTGGATGAACTTGCTGATTTAGTAGTACCTTAAGATGGAGTACAGCGCAGTGCATATAAGGGAGTTTATGTCTGTCCACAGGTTTCACCTTCAAAACTACGGAACAGATTTCAATGAAATATGGTATGTATGGTCTATTCTAGAAATCATCAGGTGAATTTAATTTGGGACACACATTTCTAATTCTGTTTTGAAAATAATTGCTATTTACCCTGAGAATCATACGAAATCCGTTAATTCATTATGCGGACAAAGTACGGATATACTGATTGTTAAAGCAGGTGGTACGTATAGTTACCTCGGGGTCTTAAAGGTTGATGGAGAGTCTGTCATTGGTGTTGTGGCAATAAATATTTAAATAAGCAATGGTTCAAACTTTTTTTTACAGTTCATTACTACTTGTATTTAGCTTTACAAACAAATGATCAATAAGATCAATAATTATGGCTACACTTTGGTGTTATAGATCCTAATTTGGGAGAAAATGTGTGACTTGTGTATGGCTAATACTGTAATTGGTTTATGAAATTAAATATTTTAACCATGTTAGTATTAGCAAGTACGATCGTATTATATCTTGCAATGAAAGAAGACTTGGAATTTCATCTTTGGCTACAGTTGATGAATTACCACTGTTTATGAAGTTCTGGTACTGCTATTTTAAAAATGCACAATTGTACTTCTCACTACAAACTGAGTCTTCACTCCATGTCAGAATTTATTTTGTAGTAACTGCTGAAGTGCAGCAAATAGAAGTCTGCTTTACCTGAGTCACGACATTCAAACACAGACTGAAACTGTTTACCCGTGAATCAGCTAAGCAAAACTGTAGATTCCACTAAAATAGGGAGAGAAGTCGTGGTTTATGAAGGTACAGGATATTTCAAGGAAGCTGAGTGCAGCAAAGAATTGGCCACGTCACAATATTTAATTTTTTAAACACTTCCTGGTTCTATCTCAGGCACAGATGACTCTGTTGCAAGTTAGTATTAAAAAACCTTTCGGCAGAATTTTTGGCAGGAAGCGAATTCCTTGTAAGCAGGTAATTGGATAGTTTAGATAAGGTTATTTTATTAGTTTATTTAAGTTTTAGTTATTTTTAAATGGCATTTACATTATCTTGCATAACAAATTGTCCTGAGGACTGACAAACTTTACCACAGCACTTTAAGGTTTTTATTTTTCTTGTACCCTTGAACGTCCTGTGTCAACTGCAGTTTCTCCAGACTTTTGCTTCACATGATGTTGCAGAAACTTCTTTATAGCAGATAGTATACTTGAAATTGTGAGATTCAAATAAACAGGAAAAGAATAAAATATAATAGAATTTATTTACATCCCACAGATCCTTCGTAGTATGAGCCAAAGATTTGGAATATATCATATTATGAAAACTAACATTTAGTATAAATATCATACCAATACAAATATAACCCTTAACTCATGATACGAGGTCTGAGAGACTGGTCAGGCTTTGGTAATTCCATGAGACCTCAGATTTATTTGGCATGAAAGAGGATTTTGAATCTGATGCTATATGTGGTACATGGTACATATATCATAATAACTCTTTTAAAATAAACTATTTTGTAATTTTTTTTTGTTTTAAAAATGCCTGCAGGATTTGTATGAAGGCAAACATGAATTTAGGAATTGGCATTACTTTTTTACTCGTCATCTGGGCAAAGTGGCATATTTTGATAGCTTGCGTTATGTTCCAGTGTGATACACGATAAAAATGTTTATTTGAATAAAATCATTTAGTGGGTAAATTCTTGGTTTCGCCACCCTGCCTCATAACATTCTGTGCTGAAGGTACCCAAACACTTTTTCTCGTAAATCTGAATCATGAGGTGCGACCCACTTCAAGTTTATCACAGGCCTTCTCATGGCACAGATGGGAGTGAGTGGCCCAGTCAAAAAAAGTGGTTTAACCAGTGACATGCCGCCTCTCAGAACTCCACAAGACTAAATTTCCCAAAACAAACAGCACTGAAAAAGACTGAGGAAGAGAAAGAAATGTGAGTACAGATATAGACAAAAGATAAGAAGGAACTGTGAACAATAGAGCACTACAGCCTATATTCTTAAGAAAATAGTTTTTGCTGCCATCTCACAGATTGCACATCACCAGTTAAGGGACAACTACACAGTTGTTACAGTATTTAATATTTTTAAGTTGAAGTAAATTCTTTGACATAGTAATCAGGTATGAGATAAAAGATAATCATCCAATGCTGGTTTAAGTATTTTTGTATCATGATTAAATGTTTAATGCTACATGAAAGAGTATTGAATAAATTGATCCCTGCATATATGATACCTAGCGAAAAAGGAATTTGGCATATTGAGGTTATGTTTATGCCTTGTGATTATACTATGTATGTTGGAATTTGTTTGACATTTCTCCATGTTGTCCACAACAAACATCAGTATTGAGAGCTAGAATTCACTCACATGGGGAACTATATTAAATTTTTCAAATAGTTCTCTACAGCAGATTCTTTTTAATGGCTTTGATTGTTTAATTGATTTTCTTTTGATGTCTGTTCAGTTTTAAGAGTTAAGGTAACTCCATTTGACATGATGGAACAGAAAGACGCAAAGTAATAATTTTAATGTATCTGTTTTCAAGATATACTGAATTTAGTGCGGGGATAATATATTCAATGTGCTTTTAACAGTGTTAAGTTATTATCAATTTGTGAGCCAAGGAATGAGTTGTTTGTACTTTTTAATTGTTATATTAGTATAAACTATATTTAAATTAACATGAAGTTACAACAGTCTGTTGAGTGGGACCAACATAAACACGTTTATACTCACGGTTCTACACTGCAACTGTTTAGCATTCTTTACAGAAGAGAGATCAGGTAAAAATCATTCACGTATCTGAAAGAACCTTTTGGTACCAGTCAGTTGTAATTCTGTCAGCCTTCTGTGTCATGATGTGATGTTAGTATATAACTAAAAATGCAAATCAAGATGGGACATTGCTTATTGAGACAATGGAAGACGGCAGACATTACCACGTTCTAAACACACCAGAGAGTAAGAATTT